AGAGTAACCGTGGCAGCGCGCTAGGCAGCGCCTGGGCTTGTTTTTTCATCTGGGAATGCTGCTTGTAGGCTTACGTGCATAAGAGCGTGATGGAGGAGCTGAAGCGAATAATCGACGACAGTGAAATCACAAAAGAAGATGATGCTCTGTGGCCTCCTCCCGACAGAGTTGGTCGACAGGTTGGTGTACAGTGTCTTTCCTAATTGCTGCTTTAATATGTGTGTGTTAGCTCATTAGAAACATAACTGAACTTTTCCCTCAAGTCAGTATTGTTTCTAGCCAAGAGGGAAACAAATACTATCATCAAAGCTGAGCGGTGCCTAAAAGGCAATTTAGTTGTGAGAGTTAATGTGATTCACAGACCTGCTGCATTCAATACCTTTATAATAAAAATGGAAAAGCCGTCATCTCAGTACTTATGTGTTTCTGTAACTAATACCATAAAGCAGTAGTTTGAGTTTCTGTATTCTTTTATTTTTCAGGAGCTTGAAATAGTAATCGGTGATGAGCACATTTCCTTTACCACGTCAAAAATCGGTTCACTCATTGATGTAAATCAATCCAAGTACGTACTCTGCTTTTTTTATGTCACTGTTGTTTTTATATAACAACCTATATTAGAACTTGCTGATTACTAGGTACTTGTTTCAAAGTACAAATCAGTTGCTGGGGGCACAAGTGCTCTGTGTTCCGGCGCAATGTACCAAATGTTTTCAGACTGTGGCATTACATGCTGTATTTTCAAACTCACTGAGCAGCTACCCTTACTGTAGGAACCCCTGTTAGGCGTATTCAGAGCCTGAACTGAGCTGTCATTGGCCTGTCCACACCAATGTCTCTGGGAGAACCAAGGTTTCCATATTTCACCTAAGCCGAAAAGTCTGCGTATCATGTTTTTTAAATCCAAAGTAACGTTACCACTTGCTTTGATGATAAAAATGCACGTTTTGTTGAGACTTAAAAGGTGGAACCTTCGAGTACAGAATGTTTTATCAATCAGTGTAGAATGAAACACATCTGTTCATGTCTAAGATGACCTCTGAAAGTCTCCCTATAGGCTTTGTTGTTTTTTTCAATAGGTTAGTTCTATAAACTACTCTCTTAGAACATGAATCTAACTGCTTTTTTTCCCCCCTTCCTTCTGTTGTGCATGGCAGGGATCCAGAAGGCTTGAGAGTGTTCTACTACCTCGTCCAGGACCTTAAGTGTCTAGTCTTCAGTCTTATTGGACTACACTTCAAGATTAAGCCAATTTAAAGCAAACAAACTGAAGTTTGTTATTGCGGTAGGGCGGGGGGGGGGAGGGCAGGGAGGAATGTTGTTTCAACTCCTTGTTGGGCATGAAGCTTTTATGTATGTCAGAATTTTTTTTTTTTTTTTTTTTTTATAAACTGTCAGTGACTGTCTTAATAAAATGGTGAGATCTGTATTTTTAATTTATAAGTTCTGGTGAGAATCATAGAATTGTTTAGGTTGGAAAAGACCTTTAAGATCATCCAGTCCAACCATTAACGTAACACTACCAAGTCTACCACTAAACCAATTAAGGGTAGAGTAATAATTTCATGTTTCCTGGCTTGGTGGCTGGATTATTTTTTAGTGAAAGTAAAAACCAGGAATCATTAAGGTTGGAAAGGACCTCTAAGATCATCAGTCCAACCATCAACCCAACACCACCATGCCCACTAAACTATGTCCCAAAGGGCCACAGCTGCCCGGTTTTTGAACACTTCCAGAGATGATGACTCCACCACCTCTCTGGGCAGCCTGTTCCAATGCTTGACTACTCTTTCCGTGAAGAAATTTTTCCTAATATCCAATCTAAACCTCCCCTGGCGCAACTTGAGGCCATTTCCTCTCATCCTATCACTTGTTACTTGGGAGAAGAGACCGACACCCACCTTGTTACAGCCTCCTTTCAGGTAGTTGTAGAGAGTGATAAGGTCTCCCCTCAGCCTCCTCTTCTCCAGGCTAAACAATCCCAGTTCCCTCAGCCGCTCCTCATAAGACCTGTGCTCCAGACCCTTCACCAGCTTCGTTGCCCTTCTCTGGGCATGCTCCAGCACCTCAGTCCTTCTTGTACTGAGGGGCCCAAATGAAAAGAAAAAACTGAAACTGACTTCCTAACGCTTTTATCATGGTACATTTAGGGTATGTTACTTCACTTGTGTCACACAAAGCTCCATTTCACATCTCTATCTATGCAGCAGTAGAAAATGGAATTAAGCCTGGCTCTGTGAAATGAAACTTTAGCCAGCTGTCAAGATAAACTTTTGTTACTGTCCCAAGTTGGATATTCTGTTGACCAGTTCAAATATGCAAAACAACTGAAGCCCTAACTCTGCATGTGATAACCGGTTATAGCGAAGATGCACATCAACTTCCTAACAATGTACTGCTGTGATTACCTGTTTGCCTTCGGAGCAGAAGCAGACACCAGGCCACCCAGGATCTTCACTGATACTCCCATCTATCTTTAAAAAAACTGAAATTAAAAGCAATGTAGAATGTATTTAGTTAAGTTCTAGACTAGCAGATCTATTGTGCAGAATTGTTTAAGACACCTAGAGGACCAAACAGGTCTCAACTTCGAAGTGGTAATTTTTGTAAAGCACTGTGCAAGACCCCCACAGTGGTCTCGGGTTCTCCACAGGCTCCCAGGGTGTTCCCCGCGGCAGCTCCGCCAAACTGCGCCCTTGCTTTCTCTAGCGTCTTCTTCTGTTTTTCCGAAATTGGTAGCCCATGTGATTCAAAAAAGATTGTGGTTAAATGACTTTTTAAAAGGTAAGGACATCTAGCCCCTATTACCCCTGGCAGCACCTCCTGCTTTCCCTCCGCACGCCACAGGCATCCTCTCCCTGGGCACCTTCCTTCTGCACCCTCCCCACATGCCTGCCCCGCTTCCTCACCACCACCATTCCGCTGTCATCGCCTGAACCGGCCGCCCCGCCT